TTCCTTTCTTCAGCTCTTTGTATTGCTTCCAGAACTCTCTGAAGGGCTAGTTTTATGGACATGAATGACTTCAGCCTATTTATGTCGTGGAAGATTTTTCTTTCCCTGACTATAATAGACATTTTGGCTGGGTATAGTAATCTGGATTGGCATCTGTGGTCATTTAACACTGGGAATACTTTGGTCCAGGCTCTTCTGGCTTTCATAGTTTACACTGAAAAGTCAGCTGTGATCCTAATGGGTTTTCCTTTATATGTGGCTTATTGTTTCTCTTTTGCAGTTTTCAGAATTGTCTCTGTTTTGTACATTGAGTGTTTTTACTATGATGTGCCATGGTAGAGTTTCTTTTCTGGTCCTGTCTGTTTGGTGTTCTATATGCTTCTTGTATTTGTATGGGCATGACTTTCTTTAATTTGGGGAAATTTTCTTCCACGATTCTGTCTAAGATCTGGTCCATGCTATTATCTTGGGATTCTTCTCCTTCCTGTATGCGTATGATTTGTAATTTTGGTCTTTTTATGGTATCACTCAATTCCTGCATATTCCATTCTTGTGATTTCTTAAATTTTTCATAATCTTTGCTTGAGTGGTCCAGTTCATCCTAGTTTGTCCACTTTATCTTTCAGTCTTGATACTGTGTTTTCCATTTCATTCATCCTATCGGTGAGGCTTTCTCCTGTCGTTTCTAATTGGCTTACTGAGTGTTTCACTTCCTTCAGCCTGAGCAGTCTTCAATATTTCTAGCTGTTTTCTGAATTCATTCAGAAGTTTATCCCTATCTTCCTTCCATTCTTTGATTTTTTGTGTGTGTGTTCTTTAAGTTCACGAATTGGTTTATCATGTTTATAAATGTTCTTTTTTTTTTGTCTTTCTGAGACAGTTTCTCCCTGCCTGGATTCGCTATGGAGACCAGGCTGGCCTTAAACTCCCAGAGATCCGCCTGCATCTGCCTCCAGAGTGCTGGGATTAAAGGCATGTGCCACCATGCCCAGCTAATTGTTCTTTTGAGTTCCATGTCCTGCATTATCTCTAGGGGGTTCTCATTGTCCTCCTCTAGAAGACTATTGGTATTTGGTGGGGATATGTTATTTTGGTTTTTCAGGTAATTATTTTTTCTCTGTGATTTTAACATGTGAATTTCTTTTGTAGTTTCTGATTCTTGTGTGAGACTCAAGCCTTCAAGTTTAGGTCTGCTTCTTTTTGTGAACTTTATGTGTCTTTGTGGTTTACTTTTTGGGCATGAAAAGCTGGTCCCGCTAAGCTTCCAGTTCTGTCTTTTGATTTTATATTGGAGTGGCCAGATTGCTTTTGTCTTCAGGAGTTCCCACAGAGGCCCAAGTCAGATGAAGATCAGATACTCTCAGGCTTTCTCTAAGGTCTGGATCCCTCCAGAAAAGATGTTGGCCTCAGGAATTTGGGGGTTGGACTGGCCTAGGAGCCGGGCCCAGGAAAGATGCTGGTCTAGGGCAGTTGGTGGCCATGCCACCCAGAGATGAAAAGGGAGATGGGGGTGGGAAGAGGTCCCAAGGGCTCCTGGGGGACTGCACTGAAGAACTGGGTTGGTCCCGGAGAGAGGCCTGCGGGTCGTCAGGCCCAGGGAAGCCCAGGGAGGTCTTGCACTATTTTTCATTTAATAATATTTATACAGAATGCATATATGCCAAACCTATCTATACCTTTTAAATATTAATCTTTGTACTACCCCAACTTCATTCTAGAAATATTCAGAAACTGAGGCATGAGCCCAGCCCCCCCCCAATCACACAACTACAGACTATCTCAAAGCACTAGAACTTTATTCTTTTTTTTTCATGTGTATGAATGTTTTGCCTGCATGTAAGTGCACCCATGTGCACAGTGCCCATGGAGGCCAGATTGAGGGCATCAAATACCCTGGAACTGGAGTAAAGGACTGATGTAAGCTGCCATGTGGGTGATGGGAACTGAACCCAGATCATCTGCAAGAGCAGCCAGTGCTGTTGACCACGAAGCCATGTCTCTAGCACCTAAAACTGTACTCTTAACCATTACAATATATCTTCTCTGCATACTATACAAACATTTCTGTAGCTCCTACACTGATGAAATTACATTTAAATTGTCTTAACTCAGAAGCATTCAAAATTTAGAATAGTTATCATATGCCCCTAGGTTTTATTCCCCCAAATCCTAAAAAGTTGAGCTGTTTGCTTACCATTCCGTGCCTTTGTACTTTACCACTGGAGATGGTGTCTAAGTCAACTGTAGCAAACAGAGAACAACAACAAGTTTAAAACTTTAGAGAATGTTCAATAAATAAAAATCTATTTCAGAGCCAGGTGTGGTAGTGTACACCTTTAGTCCCAGCACTTGGGAGGCAAAAAGCAGCTCTTTGTGAGATCGAGGCCAGCCTGGTCTGTGTAGCAAGTTCCAAGCCAGCCAGCTGGGGCTACAGGGAGACCCTGTCTCAAAATGACCAAAAAAAAAAAAAAAAAAAGATGTTGGTTAAAAATCAATTTCAAAAGATCTTATGACTATCTCCTACTGAAATTATTTTTATCACACTTCAAAATAGTCTTATTTCATATGATAATATGCTACTTGCTCTTTAACAAATATATCCATCTGGTTGAATAACTCATTCACATTAATAAATATAATAAAATCATTGTGAATATTGATGTCCAAGAAAGAAAAACTGATTAATGCAGGATGTTTACCATCTTCTATCGTATTTCTACAGTCTCCATGAAAAGCCATTAACTGGAATTAAACAGAATTTTGAGGTAAGTTAAACTGTCCACACCTAGTTCCCGGTGCAAAGATTAGGCAACCCAGAGCATGGCCAGCCTTCCTATGTGTTTCTCCAAAAACAACATGCCCTATGCTTCCAGATCTGTCTTTGGGAATAAAGGAGCTACCAATAATGGCCTGTTTTAAGGTATTTAAGATATTTTACTCATCTTTGTGACTGTTTATATTTAAGGATAGTCTTGTGAATTACTTCATCCCAGTGTTAGCTGGAGTTTGCAGAGTGGTTGCTGAGACGGATGGCTATTCTCACTGAAAAGGACCTATAACTATACGGGGACTACTTTCGTCCTAATAAGCCTAAACTGACAAGATCCCACAAAATCATTATTTTTTCTTTAAAAAAGTCACCCCACTGAGTATATAAAAGTTGAAGATTGCTTCATCTCCAGTTGATGTGCCAGCTACTGAGTCATAGCATTTGGTTCTTTAAAAATTCTGTACTGGGGAACTAGAGAGTTGGTTCACCAGTTAAGAGCACTGGCTGCTCTTGCAGAGGACCCAGGTTTGGTTCCCAGTACCAACATGGCAACAACTGTCTCAAACTCCAGTTCCTGGGGATCCAACAGCCTCTTCTGGCATTTGTGAACATTACATGACATGGGTGTACTTACATACATGCAGGCAAAACATTCATACACATAAATAAAAAAGTTAATGTTTTTTTTTAAATTCTGTACTGGGTAGAGAAATGATGTCCCCTATACTATTAAAGTCTTGATCTATGATCACTTACTCCTGTTGTCTAATGAGGTCAAAAACCTGCCTCAGGGGGCTGGAGAGATGGCTCAGCAGTTAAGAACACTGGTTGTTCTTGCAGAAGACCCTGGTTCAAATCCCAGCACCCACATGGCAAGTTACAACTGTCTATAACTCCAGTCCCAGGGGATCCAACAGCCTCTTCTGATCTCTGTGGGCACTGCATGACATGGGTGCACTTACCCACATGCAGGCAATACATGCATACACATAAAATAAAAATTTAAAAAAAAACAAAAACCTTCCTCAGATTCTGTAAGCTATATCAACCTGCCAAGACAGGGTCTTAAAGTTTCCTAAAAATAACTAGTAGGACCACCTTTCCTATTGTTATCTGACAGTTGTGTTTTTATGACTCATTTCTTTGGTCACCCTCAGTGGCCTCAATGAATGGCTGGCAAGGCAGATGAGATACACATATGCGTGCAAGGCACAGGACACTTGGGGCTCAGCAGGATCCATGTAGGTTCTCTGAGACACCACCTTCCTATATCTGGGTCCCACCCACACCATGCCCATGCTAGTTACTTCCAAGGGACTTAAGATTCCTCCTTTGTGGTAATACTATATACTTATATTTGGAAGCTGACTTCAACTGCTCCTTGAGAGCACACCTGCATAGACACACAGAATTTTTAAAACAACACCTTGCACACACAGGAAAGAAATGCTCCCCAGGACACTAATGTATTTGCTGAGCATTCTTCCCTTTGGGTGGTTCTTGATAGAGATGTCACCTGGCCTGATCAAAGCACTCAGTCCCTCTTGCAATGTATCCTCCCAAGCATGACACATGAGCTTTTCAGAAGGCTCTCTGGGACTTGTTCTTTTCTGGAACTAAATGGCAAAAGGGTCACATGAGCACAGAGATGCCACTGCAGGAGGGCGGCCTGGGATCACTGCAAGAGACAGTGAAATAAAGCTGACAAAGCAGGGTGCAGTGGCACACGCTCATCTGTACTCAGGAAGCAGAGGCAGGATGACCACTGCAAGTTCAAAGCCAGCCTGGCCTACGAAGCAAATTCCAGGCCAGCCAGGACTACATAAAGAGACTCTTTAAAAAGGTAAAAATTTAAAACTGAAAAAAAAAAACAAGCCACTGACAATACCTGAAAAAGGAGTTACTACTTCTTACCTTCCCCATCCTCCTGCATTTTAATTCTATTCAGCCTCTTCTGCTGCTCGCGTAGCAGGGCCTGCTGCTGAATCTCTAAGGTGTGATGATCTCTTGGAGGATCCGGGTACATAAATTTCAAATCCACTCGTGTTTCTGAATCTGGTGCAAAAATTACAGAACTAAGTTAATCTTGTTCTCAAATGAGATTTTAGATACAAACAGTGGAGCATAATTCAACACTAAAAAGAAATGAAGTCACTCCTGCCTGTAATTCTAGCACTAAGAAAGCTGAAGTAGGACTGCTATGAGTTCAAGGTCAGTTGAGCTACAAAGTGACTTCCTGGCCAGCCTAGGCTATAGAGTGTGACTGCTCAGAAGAAATGAAATGAGCTATCAAGCCATGAAAAGTGGTAGAGGAAAGTTGAGTCATATTACTACATGAAGACAATCTGAGAAACCTGTATCTAGTGTGAGTCCAATTGCAGTGACTGTATGGCATTCTGGAAAAGGTAAACTACAGAGACTTAAAGGGGTCAAGGACTGCCAGAGAGGGAGGGATGAACAGGTTTAACACAAGAGATTTTTAGGGTTGTGAAATGATTCTGTATGATACTACAACGGTGAGTATATATAATTATGCAATTGTCCAAACTGATAGACTGCACATCAAAAGTGAACCCTAATTCAAACTACAAACTGACATGTTAATCATAAGCCAGTGAAGGCCGATCAGGTCAATACAATGTGCCTGTGAGGTGACGGGAGTCCATAATGGAGAAGGCTGTGCATGTGCAGAGGCAGAGAGCATATGGAAACTCTGGATCTTGCTGGGGATATAGCTCAATGTTAGATCATTTGTCTAGAATGCATGATTTTAATCCCTAGCACTAGGAAAAAAACATTAGGTTAACAACTAAACAAGAGAATATCACCAAAGTCAAGGGACATTACAATAGCCATAAAACCAAAGAACACAAAATTCATTTTCTTTAACAAGCAGCTTTTCACAAATATATCAATATCATAAGGAAGTCCTCTAAACAAGTAACTTCTTGTGATGCAGACACACCACCTAGTACCCCTGCAAGGCAACTACAAGCAAGCATCTCCAAGCAGTTAGTCACATGGCTACGGCTCAGGAAGCCATGACATAGTGCACAATTAGTCCCTAAAATAGAGTGAAAAAAATTTAATGTTATATTGGCCAATTAGTATTTGGTTCCTAATAAACATAAAGCAGAAAGCAAGATAAAAGCAGACCAGGTGGAACTTTGGAAGGTATGTCACTACTACAAGAAATGATGGTCTAAGAACTAATCTCAGAACTGGACATGGTGGCAAAGACCTGCACTCAGGAAGCAGAGGCAAGAGGCATCCTTGTAAATTCAAGACTAGCCTGAGATGTCACACTGAATTTTAGCCAGCCTAAGCTATGAATAGTGAGACCCTGTCTCAAAACAAAACACAAACAAAGAGACCCTCAGTCAAAATTCTATGTGTTAAAATGTTAAATATTAAATTTTAATCTTGAGGATAAAAACATGGTCCAAATAAATAGTATGTAAAGCCTTACATACTATTCCTTTTGTTGATATAAAATTTCTAAAAATAATCCTAAATATATAAAAGGCTCTATGATCAGAAATTATCAAAAGAATAAAGCAGGGAAAATGGGAAACACGTGAATATTTAAGAGTTAGAAAATTGTTAAATGCAAAATTGATGGAAAAGGCTTTGGACCCAAACTTCAATGAAATAGATCCTGGCTTCATCAATTCCAGGCTTGGTTTCCTCTCTGCAAAAAACAGCAACAATAAATATCCCCAGACATTGGTAGTAAAGGTCTTTAGTCCCAACATTCCAGAGGCAGAGGCAAGCAGATCTCTGTGAGATCGAGGCCAGCCTGGCCTACAGAGTTGAATTCCAGGCCAGCTGGGGCTACAGGGATACTCTATATCAAAAAACCAATCAACCAAACAACAAAAACCAATACCAACAGCCATGTTATAGGCACATAATGATCATATATGATAACTTGGGGAAATGAATGGCTCAGCATTATGTTTTAAAATTATTCTGGTCTTGCCGGGCGTGGTGGCACACGCCTGTAGTCCCAGCACTTGGGAGGCAGAGGCAGGCGGATCTCTATGAGTTCAAGGCCAGCCTGGTCTACATAAGTAAGTTCCAGGACAGGTTGGGCTACAGGGAGACCCTGCTTCAAAAGAAGACAAAAAAAAAAAAATTATTCTGGTCTCAAGTTCCTTTTATACATATACATCTGCCATCGTTGAAATTAAGTTTTTTTTAATAACAAGGATACATTCTTCAGAAAGATCAAATGATCACATGTGTATACCCCCTCAAAAACATGTATATACTGGGGCTGGAGAGATGGCTCAGCAGTTAAGAGCACTGACTGCTCTTTCAGAGGACCTGGGTTCGATTCCCAGCACCCACATAGTGGCTACGAACCATCCTTAACTCCAGTTCCAGGGGAATCCAAAGCCCTCTTCTGACCTCCATGGCACTGCATGACACAGGTGCACGTACATACATGTAGGCAATATACTCATACACATAAATAACATTTTTTAAAAACATGTATACACATGAAATAAGAATGTTTAAAAATACCAGGCTGAGGTGGCCTGCTGGTAAAACACCTGCTACAAAGGCATGAAGTTTGAATCTGAGTTTGAATTACCGGAACCTGTGTAAAAGCACATGTCTATAATCTCAGCACTTTACTAAAAGGTGGGAGGCAGAAATGGGAGAATCCCTAAAAGCTCAGGGAGCAGCTAACCTGTACATGCAGCAGCAAAACAAGAAACTCCATCTCAAAGAAGGTGAAGGCGAGGACTGACACTCGAGGTTGTCCTCAGACCTGCATACATATGCTGTGACACACATGTACCTGCACTCACACACACAAAACCACACATCATACACAAAGATCTTTTTTAAATAGTTTATAATAAAAGCAGTTCTGTGGACTGAAGAGAGAGAGTTCAGTCAATAAAGTTCTTGCCATACAAGCATGAGAACCTGATTCCACCTCTAGAACCCACATAGAAAGCTAGACATGCTGGCATGCACTTATAATCCCAGAGCTAGGCTGGTGAGACAACCTGTCTCAAAAAAAAAATGTTGATGGGAGCTGGAGAGTGGCTCAGCAGTCAAGAACACTGACTGCTCTTGCAGAGGACACAGATTCAGTTCCCAGCACCCACATAATGGTTAACAACTGTCTGTAATTCCAGTTTCGGGGGGTCTGACACCTTCTTCTGGCCCCTGTGAGCATTGCATAACACGGGTACAGTTATACACCTGCAGGGAAAACACTCATATACATAAAATATTTTAATTTAGAAAATAAATGTTGACAATATCTGAAGAATGACAGCAGCCTAGTTTCCTCTGGCATCTACACACATACACACACACACACACACATACACACACACACACACACACACAATTTTGACCTCAAGGTCACAAACTCTGAGACCCACCAGTTTAATACAATGCCTAGGAAACAGTAATAAATGACAACACAAAAAATTACCACAATATATGTATTTGAAGTACATATATAAATCTAGGTGAAAATGAGAGAAAATTAGAGAAATATCATTTTTGTTTCATT